GTTTGTTCCCTACGATGCGGCTATAAGTTTTGTAATTGGTTTTGGCGTTGCCTATTGCATTTGACAAAAATAATTTTAAAAAAACTCAAAACCAACAAAAAACCAACAAGTAAGAGTGCTCATGCCGGGAGTGACCGCCTAGGGGATGCCCTGAACCTTTTTCTACCAATGTTCTGAGATGGGCCATTGATGCTGCCCCAAAATGTGTGTACTCTGTGGGGTCGGAGAGGCTTCCTTCTGCCCGTTACATACATTTACAGAAAAGCATTATACCCTTTTTACCCATTCCTAATGGGTTCAGGGTATAAAAATTGCAAGAAAGTTTAGCATAATGCGCAGCGAGGAGGGAAAAACAAAGTTTTGCAAACATTCAGTCGCAGAATAGAATTTTGTATGTGCGGTTAACGAAGCAAATAGACAAAAATTTATCCCGAGAAAATTGCAATTTTTTACCGGAGCTCGAATATTGAAGTTTCATAAACGTAGTTGTTGTGGACACGCCCAGATAGTCGGAGGGCACACTTAAAGCTCTCGCAAACTTAATTCGAGCTTTCAATTTCAACTGGCCAACTGACAGCACGCAAACTTAATTAAAAGCCAAAAAGCAAGGCAGCCATTTAAATATAACAGGCCACTGTCAAAACAGTGCTCAACCGGACGCGGGACGCCATGCGGAAGACAGTTACCAACACAAAAGCCAGACTGAACCGAAAACAAAATTGTTAAAGTTATAACATATAACGATACACATGCACTTTGCATATGCCACTGATATGCAACAGACAGACAGACAGTAAACAAATACACGCAGTCAAGGGACGTTGGCGACGGAGGCGGCGAGGTAGATGATGCAAGAGCAACATCATCTTCAGTTGAGTGGCAATATTAGCTGGCTTTTATACCCTGTACACATACAGGGGGAGAAACGAGCTGACAAACAGACATCCATATCAATAACAGAGTGGACCTCATCAAATATTAACAACTAAATGGACTTTAAAAAATGTACATAATAGGGAAACAGCGAATTTTCTTTAATTTAGTAGTTTTCTTGTGAATCCTATTTGATCGTTTTGATAGTCGATAGTATTTAACAGGTCCTTTTCGATAAACATCAACATATTTATGAGTATAATAATCCTAAACGCTACAAACCGAATAGTATATAAAATGTCGTTACGACAGATATATACATGCTCCCACCGGGTACCTACTAGCTGTTCACTCTCGCCTAGAGATATCTTTTCTGTACGTCCTTCATTATACCCTTGCAAAGGGTATTATAATTATCCATGAAATTCCATAAGGGAGACTTACCAAATGTACCAAATGTTGTTAAGCGCTCTTTTGGTAAAATTCACCGAAAACTGAGTTTTATTGATATCTAATTTTGTTATATTCAAGATATTTTCATCAATCTAATTTTACTATCCTCCTCATATCCAAAAGCCCTAATTCTACAAGGGTATTTAATCCACGGTGTGCCGAAGATAGCCGTTTTATCTTGTTTTTTGTTGTGTCCAACTGACCGCAAGTGGAAAAACGCTGAGTTTGCCGGCGCTGCTCAAACAAAAGCAAGTATTAAATATGGGAAATAATATGAAAGCGCTTTTTATATGCTTGGCACATGAAATTGTTTAAATAATTTATAAACGCTGCAAAATGAAATCAGGCATCTGCTGGTGCTGCTGCTGTGGTTGCCCTGGCAAGCAAAACAATCCTTTCAAAACACAAAATTCAAGTCATTGTTTTGACCGAAGTCCGGGGTCAAGTGTTGTGTATATAATGGTCAGCACGTACTACAACTGAATGAGCAAGTGTAACTGTAACTGCAACTATAACTCTAACTGGGCTGCCAGTCATACTTCCATAACCTGCTCTTCTCCCGCATCGCTCCTTCGGTTGCTTGCTTTTGTGCCAGCACATTTTAATTATTAGCATACGTTCAGGCGCAATAGCAGCGACGCCGTCTGAATTTTATGAGCTCTGCACATTTGGGTCCACATTGCGTATGCGTAACGCGTTCGTTTTTGTCTCTAATTGAAAAAATATCAAGCATACGCAAGACTGTACCATTGTTTGGACGAGCTCTTTGTCAACTACAACCTATGTATTTAGGCAGCAGCTGTTACAAAAAAGGTAAATGGGAGTCACTTTTAAGCTCTTCACAAAGCTGTAAATATTTAAAAGTTTTTAATCATCTAGAGCTTAGCCAACTTCTTGTTTATTAATCTAACTATATGTCGAACTGATTTAACTCTGCCTCAAGTAGTAGCCATAGAAAACTTAGAGATAGGCACTTAGACTTTTGCATGCTTGAGTAAGGCGAGCGAGCAGCATGCAGGCGATTTGCTATTAGAAAAGTTTACCGTTTAATTAGACAGCTGACTTGTTAGCAGTCGCTCAAGTAAGTCATTCAGACTTGCCAACAATGCTCTTAATGTTCCATGGGAAACTACAAAGTAAGCTTGTTAATTAAATACGCATTACCGCGCCTCTAATTGCCAGCGATGTGCTGCTTAGCAACAACAAGAACAGCAAAATACAGGAGTAATGCACAACAGCTACATACAACAACACCTAACTCTTAAAGTCGACTAAAAAGTTTTTTTTTGCTGGTGTGCACGTTGTAGTCAATAAAATATGGCACAAAATACGCAAACATTAAATTTAATTATCAGCGGAGATTATGACCTCTGACTAAGTGACTAACTGACAGACAAACTGACAGTAAGTTAAGCCAGAGACAGATAATAGATAATTTCGAATGCAATGGATCCATAGTTAATGACAAATGTCTCCGAGTTAAATAACATTTAATTAGTAAACATTTCAGTGGGACTGAAGAAAGCATGTGCGGCAGTGCAGCGTGGCATGCCACAAGCTAATTCAGCGGCACAAATCATCAATCACTGCGGCAGCAATGTTCAACTTGGCCAACTGCTTGGCGAATGCATCGGGCTGCGCACAAAAAAGTTTAATGGCTTCAAAAATCAACTTGGTCGTCGGTTGGCGCCATTTGAAGTTGCATTGTTTGTTGTTGTTGCAGCTTGCTGTTTTTGCTGTGTTTGTTAGCTGAATAACGGCGACAGCGTCTGGCTAAAATATGCGCACGCCGCAGGTAAATGTTGGTAATTTGTGACTTGCAATGGCTTCGTTTTTTCCACTGTGAAATTTTAGCTTGACGGCGCCCATTTAACGCACGGTGACATTTCTCGAGCTCTGTGGGGCGAAATTTATGGTAAAATCGTGTGGCAATATGCAGTCGCATGTCTAATGCCACAAGCAGCCACACATTTTAGCACAGGAACATGAAAATAAAAATAAGTTGTGCAGTGTGATTAAAAGTGGACATTAGTTATCAAACGGTTAATGGTTGAAAGTGTGCCCAGGAGCTTAATAGATATGCCTAGAATGCCATTCACTCTACTTATATGATTCACTCTAATTATACTCAATTCCAATTTATAAATGTAAGCACAACCCACAATTTAAAAAATATTAAGCTATTATAACACCTCCCATATCATAGATTTCTAACTCCCAATTTAGTTGACTTGGGAACATTTAAAGCCAACAAAGAAGTTTGTCGACTTTATTTGCACTCTTCGCAGCTCTTAAACTTTCACACTTAAATCATATTTGCGCTTATTGTTTTACCTGCTGCTCCTACTATTATTTTTGTTGCTGTTGTTGTTACCTTTGTTGCACGTTGGTTGGATCCCAGTTTAGCTTGAAGCTGGCCTGCGCAGAGTTGCGCTCTTATTTACCCCTTTGGCGCTTGGCTTGGCTTATTCAAGTGTGGCTTTTTCGTGTGCACACTGCGGAGTCACTTTGACCTGCATGTTATTCATGGTTAAGCACACACTAGCACACACGGCAGCTAGCCCTGCCCCAGCGCACCACAGTGAACAAAATACCAACAGCCAAGCTGGTAATTCTGTAAACTATCGCGCGCTGCAGACATAGTAACACGAAGGCGTTGGCCTGTACATGGACATGGGCAAGGGATTTCTACGCTCTTAGCTGTGCTAAACATTCCCTAAATATATTTTGCAACAGCTCCTCCACTCCACATACGAGATAAGCGGCACACATGCCATGGGCAGGACGGTAAGGACGACCCAGCGATGCGAAGGGCACTGCTGACTGCAATGAAACTTTTTGCACCTGAATATTTTTTCAAAACTATTCACAGTTGATTTTTCACCTGATGCTTTTCATGGACCACAGTGTGTGCTGTGTGTGTGTGTGTGTGCGCGCGTGTGTGTGTTTGATGGTGTGCCTATGCCTCTTACGCGCCTGTGAGTGTGTGTGGGTAAGTGCTTAAAATATTTGTCTGCCTGGCTGCTTGTGAAGCTGTGGCATGCCTGGCAGCCTGTCCAACTGTCTGGGCTCCCAACGAACGGCTCGCTTTATAGGACTCAACTTAAATGCAATGCCGCTGCCTCGACCGGTTCATGTGGATTGGCTCGGTGTCCCATTAGGTGCAGCAATTGTATTGGGCGCCAATCCCTGAACGGGTCCATGACATTTTTTATTTTTTTTTTAAATGTTTTGTGATAAAGGTATCTCTGAAAGTTGTTCGATTGTGGACCAGCTTGCAACAAATTTCAAAAATAGATTCAAGGTGAGAGTACTTAATAATGGCGTATTTAATTTTTGAGCAATTGTTTATTATTTCTAAAAGTAACTATTGTTTATAAATCAATAAAATTTATAGTGAATCGCTACTACGTAACCTCGTTTCGGAGAATTTAATGCAATTTATAATAATCAGTGTTTCCGCTACAGTACTCATAGCTCATTCATAGAGTCGGAATGGTTTTGGGCCCATTTTCAGCCTGAACAGCTCCTGACTTACTCTCATGCATGCATATAAGCATACATACCAGCGTGTGTACAGCCTTATCTATATGCATTTTATTATATAAGCTTTGGTATTAAATAGCCCATGTTCCCTGTTCACTCCACCTCATACTTCTCCTTCACTCTTGCAGCTATGGTCTCCTGGGCGCCTCTGGCTGTGGCAAGACAACACTGCTCAGTTGCATCGTTGGACGACGGCGTCTCAATTCGGGCGAAATTTGGGTGCTTGGCGGACGGCCGGGCTCACCCGGATCCGGTGTACCCGGTCCGCGAATTGGCTACATGCCACAGGTGAGTTGAACTCCATGTGCCGTGCAGCTGCCTAAATATTTCATGCGCTTTTTATTGCCCTGCCGCAGTTGGCTTCATGGCTCGTAACTAAATTAAATAAATGCAATAAAACGTTAAAGGCCAGAGTAAGAGAAAAAAGGCAGCAAATAAAAAAACTTTTAACTGGTGCACAGCACAGAACTTTTAATTTCGACAAAGCGCAGTAATATTTTTAGTCCCCGGGGCTCATAAAGCTGCAACGCCGTGAAGTAGGCAACGGTATTTGCATTCGTACGCTCTCGCTATATAATTCGGTCTTAATTCCCATTTCGCAGGAGACAGCTCTTTATGGGGAGTTCACAATGCGTGAGACTTTAATCTACTTTGGACTTATTGCCGCCATGCCCCGCAGCGACATAGAGGATCGCACCGAATTTCTGCTCAAATTGCTCAATTTGCCAAATGGCTCGAAATTTGTCAAGAATTTGAGCGGTGGACAGCAGCGTCGCATGAGCCTGGCTGTCTCTCTGCTTCATGAACCGGAGCTGCTCATTCTGGATGAGCCGACAGTGGGCGTGGATCCGGTGCTTCGACAGAGGTGCGTATACAATATACAATAAATAGTGCCTCGAGGGTGGCTCAATCCTTGGGAATATAAAGAGCCCGCAGAATTTCGCTAAGCAAAACAATTTTTTAATGTCTCAATTAATATGATCATAACAACAAACTTTTGTGAGTGTGGACTTAATCCAATTAATTGTAATTCCATTTTGTTCGATAATATTAAAAATGAATGCATTTATTTCCATTTAATCCGAATTATGCTCTCATGATATGAATAACAATTAGAGGGAAAATTGGAAAAGCGATGTATTGAAAAATATATCCGCATATTAAGTTTATTGTGAGAATCGTGAAACTGACAGTAAAAGCAAGTCAAAAGGAAGAAAATGAAATGTAATTATAAATTTCGAGCTGAAATGAAAAACGGATATCTCAGAGCTTCACAGGCGAAAATTGCAGCTTTTGTTTTACCACGTGCGCTTAATGAGTTTGTCGAAAGCATTCTGAAAAGGGTATACACCATTTCGCGAGAATTCCGCATTCAATCAGAAAATTCGGCAGAAGCAAATCTTTAGCGGAAAATTTGCAAGCGCATAATAATTTCTTATAAGGAAAAATTAAACAATATTGGAATGGCTTGCATCCCTATTATTTTCCTCTACCAGGTAACCAAAATTATAAAGTTGAATCCGTAATTTTAAAATTGCTTTTATATTGAAATAGAAACATTTTTACCGAATCTAAGTACGAGTTAGCTAGCCAGGATCAAACCAATTCCTCCAACTGTTTGATGCTTTTAAGATTCCGCTCATGGTGGTATCAAGTAGATAATATGTTATTTAACTTACTAAATTGATGGTTTCTGATTAACTCTTCTACACATTTTCAGCATTTGGGATCATTTGGTGGACATCACGAAAAATGGCAACACAACTGTGATAATCACCACGCATTACATCGACGAGTGTGCCCAGGCGCATGTGGTAAGTTCACATTCGACACATATTAAGGGGGGTGCGGCGGGTGTAGAGCTGTGGCTGCCAGCAAGTGTCAACGGCTTTTTGGCGCCCACGCATTGTTTGCTAGCTTGATTAATAGTCGGTGCTTTCACGTCTATTTGTAATATGCGGCGTATGGGCAATATTATGCGCTTCAGATGGTTCGGGCTGGCAAAGGTGAAAGTTCAGCTGTCGAGGGAGTCCCTACACAGCGGCGGCGCTTATCAGCTCAAGCTCGAGTGTGCGCTGTCAACACGCGGCGCTAAGTGCTTCCTTCTGTTAGGGAATGAATGTGCCGATGGCGCGGGACATGTGGGACTGGTCGCTGGCAAATTTGTATCCTGCGCAGGCTGCAACAAATCTGTGTCCTCTCTCTCTTTCGAAAAAGTATAATTTTACTGGCTGTCCCGCTGTTGACCCATGGCCATGGCACGATTTACGAGGCATTTCCGAGCGAGACACATTGCAAAATTTACTTCAGATTTATTTATGTTGGCAATGCGAAGCACCATAATCAGCCAATGCGGGAATACATTCAGTATGTGTGTATGTGTTTGCGTGAGGGAGCGGGTGTGTATTTGTGTTAGTCATTTGCTGCCCCCTGCCAATGTGTGTGGCAGACAATGAACTGTGCGAGCGACTGACAGTTACAGCAAAAATATGAAAAACAGAAAAAAAAAGAGAGAAAAAATGCTTGGAAAATACAGAAATAAAGCGTGACAAAACGCACAAAGCAAACGCCCGTCACAATGGACACTTAGATAGACAGATATATAGATAGACCAACAGATACCCATGCGACACGCACAGGATATGCACACACATAGAGACACAAGCACACGCACGCATATATAAAACAAACAAGTCCTTGCACACAGAAACGCACTTATGCTGGTCAGGTCCGAGCGGAAGCTAAGCTAAAGCCAATTCTGTAGATATATCAGTAGCAAGACCCAAAGATTGATGCTAAAGAAACGACCTTAAAGAGTTGACGATAGTTGGGTCGAAGAAAACAGACAAACAAAACGACACGTGTATACACTATGCTCGGCATATGAAATCGAATGATTGATGGCCAAGCAATTTATAACGTTGCAAAACACGGATTTATTTAGGTCCTTATCAACACTTAATTGCGGCGAACAGATCTACAGACGTGGGCACTGATTTGATTTCCGTTTACATTTTATGGGGCTTGCATGGCTTTTTGATTCGATTTTGGGGATGCTGCATTGCAAAAATTGTAAATTAGTTAAAATTGTACATTTTCACAAGATGGAAAATTAGGGCTTATGTGAATTCGTTTTAACTTTATCCAGCTAAATTCTGTATGTAGTCTTTCCTTTCATATATAGCTGATTTAATAAATCGAATTACTTAACAAGTTGCACAGATGTGCTTAATATTACAGGTAGCATTGAATACATTCAACAGTTAAGCTTTTCATGTTTCGTGAGCTTACTTACTTACTTTAAGTAAATGGCCTTAAAAACTGATGCAAGCTTTTGAATTTTATATATCCTGTACAAAGTTTTACCTTAAAGGATATATATTGAGGAATTGAATTTAAATACATTTCCACAACAACAAAAATTAACTTATGTAAAGCGGCTTATTTGATACATATTCGAGTATTTGTTTCAGAGAGTGCTCTTGAGCTTGTTAGCCAACTACTTTACGGAACCTGCCACACACGCGACAATTGAACCCCTTCTGTTGCCTGCTGGCAACAGCTGTTAGACGCTTGTCGAAACGACAACAGCACCCTCGCTGTGTGTCATTGCGGTAAAGAGTTATGGCCAATAAACAAAATCATTGTGCGCCTTTGTTTGCCACAAGACGTGCTGGTAACCTGAAGCCCAGTCCATAAAATAGGGCCCTAGGTTTACTGTTTAGTTAATCTAACCGCAACGCGTCGCCCTTTGAAATGTGTCTTTAATGGCAATTGTTGTTGGAATCCTAAAAAGAGAAAGAAAAAAAGAAATACAAACTGCCTATGGTGGCAAGCGGCCAGCAACTTTGGTCCGACTTTTGTCTGCCTAGTAACTTTGGTGACAGTGTTTAATTGCTCATATTGAACACGTGTTGTCTCTTCTTTTCACAACAACAACCACAAAGGCGGCAATACCATAGCACGGAGTTCGCCTAGATTGTGCACGCTTGAGTTGACTACTCGTATTATTGCCGGCAGCAAATTGCTTTTTCAGCTTTGTCACTTTTTCGTGCCACGTTTTTACTTTGCCGCAGGTTGCGCAATGCTCAACGTTGGAGCTCAGCTCGAAGGAGTCATCCTGCAGTATCACATATTTTTCGCCAATTCTGCACGTCACTTGGACTTCAGCTGTCGTGCGACTTACTTGTCTAACTGCCCAGTGGAATTTGGTCAGTTTGTGTTTTTTTTTTCGGTTTTTCGGTTTTTTTGTCCTTTTATTGTTGACTCAGCAGAATTGCGTGAGGGCAACATAGGAGCGTATGCATGCACACTAAAACACTCGGTGTGAGTATTTGAACAGTTCGCACACTCCCACTCCTGCTAACCCACACACACACATACACACGCACACACATAGACCTACTAGACTGAGCTCCTGTTCGTGCTGATTGAGTGAAACATATTTATTGACACTTACCTAGGCACGAGGTTTGGTCCGCCCATTCTTTTTCGGATTTCATGTGCATTGCTTTCGCCAATTTGGCATTTAAAATTTATTATTATTGCATGTCGTGCATTTTATTGGCTGTAAATGCATTACCCCAACAAATTTATGTGCAATTGCCGCTGGCTGAATTTATGAAAAATAATTTGAACTTCGATGTGCTGTAAAACTTTAAGCGATATCATTAAAATTTGTGTTGTATCAAGTTTAAAGCTAAGCTATTAACATTGGCTATTAGATAAAAGTTGTAATAATTTTGTTTATTGAAATTTTATGAGGCTTATGAATTGGCAGTCAGATCGCCTTTATATGGTGCTTACTGACTACCCTTTGATTGGGACTAAAAGTAAAATACTCTTAAAATGTGATGTGTATTAATTAATGAAATTTGCAAATAGAGCAAATTAATTTGGCAATAAAACAATAAATACGGTAGCACAAACATAAATCCATATATAGACTTATTAAAATTCGGATATGTACTTGTTTATTATACACCATTATACTGTACCTTCATGTGCACTCTGTTATATCACAGTAAACATTTTTGGCCAAGTCGAAAGGGTAATATTGGCAAAAGTATAATTGGCTTACGCTGCGTAAAAATATTTTTATATGTACTTTTGTAAATAAAAAATTTCCGTTTGACTGTTTCACTTGCAACAATAATAATATGGCGACTGCCATGTTGCTTTTAATTGTCAATCAATATGATTGCAATAATTACTCAGCTTCTCATATGAACATACGCGTAGACAAGCAAACCATTTGGCAGGCTTATTTTTTTTTTAATTTTTCAACATCAGCAATTATTCAACTGTCCATTTGCATTTTTGTGCTGGCTTCAAAAAACAATTCCATATTTTTCTTTTTATACATATTTTTTTTTCTGAATTTAAAAGCAACATGCGGAAAATTACGCCACAAAAGAGAAATGCAACACAGAAGAGACAGCATAAACTATTAAAGATACTAGACAAAAAAAATATAACAAGCAAAAATTCAGAAACAGAAACTGAAACGCCAACTGCCAACTGCCAACTGCTCTGAGCTCTGAGTGTCGCTGCAGGGGTGCTGAGAAGGGATGCGACGGGGGGTTGTGAAGTAGTCGCAACAATATATCCATCAAATAATGTTACGGTCCCTGATTTCATTTATTAGAGCAGAAAGTGCTGCACATACAACTGGGTAATAGCAAAGGGCCACCGCCGCCCTAGCGACATATCAACTGCGCGGAATATGCGGCGTATACGCGATTTCCTACTACTCTCGGTCTTTGTGTTGGTCAAAAAATTCCCATGACACAAGCCAACGTTCACATCATATTTAGGTAGCAATGTCTAAAGAGGGCCAAAAAGAAACGCATCACTTTGACAGACAGCGGAACGTAAACACTGTTGCCGCCAAGCTACAATTTTAGTTGCAAGCCATTTAGTCTTGAGTTGGGTGTTAGATTGGGTCTGGTTAATAATGCCACAAATTGCAGGCGTTGATGTTCTGCCATAATATGCTGCCAGCCTTTGATGTGGGTCTTTCGTCAGATATGTATGTACGAAGATGTTTCCACATCCGGCGACGCTAGGAGCAGGAAGTGCTTAAATGCGTACACACAAATTGAGGCATGAAGTAGCAGAGAGAGAGAGAGAGAGCAGTTTAATCAAGGAAATACAAATGCTCGAACTATTTGTAACCATTCAACAGCAAAGGGAAAAGAAATGATGAGGCTCGCAAAACTAATTGCTTGTACTGATAAATTTTAAAGAGAGAAAGTCAAATTAAAAAAAATAGACAGCTAAACAAATTCCCATACAAGCGAGAATCAATATTAAAATTGGTATTTTTTTTATTATATATATTTATTAAACAAATTTTTGTTTGCTAAAAAAAAGAGAGAGAACAGATTTAAATGTTGCTTGATAAAATCCACAATGAATTTTAAAGTTAACAACTTAAAGTTCATCTTCTTTCCATGTGCATGCATATAGCTCTACGCCTTTCCTGCAATTTCGAACAATGCCCTTGGTACTGCCCTTCTCGTATATCATTTTTCAATTTCCGGCTTTATACACGAAAAAAATTCAAGAAAAATGGTTATATTCATGATACAGAAGATTAAATACACTTGCAGGCATATAAAGTACCTTGCATCTAAGTTGGGTGGATATTTTACCATATTCAGAACAGTATTTAAACTAGTCGCTAATGTTATGAACGCAATTAAATAGATATGTAAGCTTGGTGCCAAAAGTTGTTAAAGGCCCACTTTTTTTAAAGCTGATATGTTCAATAGCATATACAATTTTTTATTTTCATTTAAATATTTCTATCCAATTTAAGAGCTAATTTTCCAAAAACCGTCCATTATATATGAATTCTTTATTGGTACATCAATACCTACATATGTATGCGTTTCACATTTCGTGGCATTCTTTTAAGAACAGCTGCCAGAGCATAAAATATAAAAGGAATTATTTATGGCATTTGGAGTTTGGGACAATATTAAATGCTGATCACATCGAGGGCCATGAAAGTGCAATTGGCTGACCGTACGTCAGGAAGGTTCTGCCTTAGCCGTGCAGTGGCAATCAATTAGGAAGTTAATAGGTCGCTCTATCGACGCATTACCAAATGGAACAGCCAATGGACACGCCTGAGGAAACAACCGATTTCCGGTAGACCGAAGACAGAATTAAATCAAGCAGCAAAACTTTTCTAACTAACTAGAGCTCGTGCGTGTTTGTGGATGTGGGTGTAAGTGAATTTGCTTGTGTCCATAGCATATTTTGCAGCGAATTTCCAAGTGAAGGCACATTACAGACAGGGCAGCAGTAGGAACTAGCGCTGTATTCACTCATGTGCATGCCTAATGAAGCTATCCAGAGCACTGGAATTGATGAGCGAGCAGTTGGCTATGAAGATGTTGGCCAAGTTTCGCAGAGCCGCTAAAGTTTGCCGGCCAAAGCCAGGCAGTCAATCTGCAGAGCGATGCTGGAGTGGCAGGAACAATGTCCCGAACTTGCCTTAAATGTTGCCCGGTATGCCAAGTCATGTGCGGCACAGAAATCAATTAACTCAATTTCCGCACGTTGTGACAAAGCGGCCGTTGGATTAGCTGCCTGTTGCAAGGGGGCGTGGCTCAAGGACAGTCAATAAAACTTTTCAACAGCAACAACAGGATGTGCATAATTCTGTCATTGTGCAAAGACAAAGAAACTTTCGCTCAAACAAGCCAGGAATAGACTACCTTAACCTGAATCGTGCATGGGAAGGTATTGGGGAACAGGAAGGGTGCTGGGGTTTGTGGGTACGCAAGTACACGAACGAGTCGCTGTCAAAGTCAAAAGTTTAATTGACTTGGCGACACTTTTGTCTCTAACTCGAAACAATTTTCTATAAAAAAATGTGTTGTCTTTACAGATTGGATTGCTGCGCGGCGGTAAAATGCTGGCTGAGGAGTCACCAGACTTTTTGCGCCAACAATATAATGCCGAATCGCTGGAAGAAGTATTCCTTAAGCTCTCAGTGATGCAGAACATGGGCAAGCGTCGGCGGTCCTCTATTGCACAGGAAATTGTGGAGCAGGTGACAGTGCCAGCCATATCGAATCCAGCGCTGGACATGTCCGATGAACAGCATGCCGCCGAGATCTCTGGCGAGTTCGGTGATAATATATCTATGTCTTCGGCGGTGCGTGATCCCATTAGCAGCACAGCGCCGGCTGCACCACCGCTGCCACCTGCGCAGGAGATGCCGACATCCTTCTGGTACAACCTGCATGTGATGCAATCGCATCACTTGCATGCGCTCATCTGGAAAAACTTTCTCTGGATGATGCGCAATGTGGGGTGAGTAAATGGCTAGCAAATTAACATAGCCAACTGTCTAAATAACTGTGGTTCATCTAGGATAATGCTGTTCATAGTGGGTCTGCCGGTGGTGCAGATATTACTTTTCTGCTACGCGATTGGCCATGATCCGACTGGCCTTAAATTGGCCGTGGCAAATCACGAGATGTCCGAGGAAATGATTGTGCAACAATTCTGTCCAGTGCACACCGGATGCAATCAGACGATGCTCAGCTGCCGTTATCTCGATATGCTGGTCAAGAACAAGAGCATGGTTGTGGTGAGTACATGCAATGCAAATTACCTTGGGGCATAAAGGGGGCTTACGCTGTCATTGGCTTTTGCTCAAATTCTGCAATAGAAGCCGGGCTATAAGTACAATAACCACTCTAGTAACTATTGTTGTTGTTGCCGTTGCCGTTGCCGTTGCTGTTGCTTATTGAAGGACGTTGAGACGATGGTTCGACCCTGCCGGCCATTCGTGTAATTTATTTCAATTTGTGTGGACAGCAAAGCTGGTCAGCCACCGTGTGCATGCTCCTCAATCTACTGCACACAACGTTTGGCCCCCTCGTCTTGCTCCCCTGCTCCATTCTGCCGCACTCCTAAATCAAGTGCCTGGATCCCAGACCCAGAGCGATTCCCCCTTGGAGTTGGCACCATCTTGGCTGCTGCTGTTGTTGCTGTTGCCTTTGGTGTTGGCGCACACAAATTACAGCTGCTTATCTTTGGCAACAGCACCAACAGTGTGGCAGTAAGGCAGTCGGGCGGCTGGGCAGCTGGGCAGTTGCAGGCCGGTCGAGATCATCAATAAATTTACTGGCTGTGGGGCAAAAATAGTAGTTGAAATCCAGCCCCAGTGCAGAAGACCTGCCCCTCATAGCAATTTATTGCAAATTACGCTTCAAAAACAATGCCTTCTTTTTGGCTAATTTGTGCACAACTGTAAGCTGGTCCTCTAAGCAAGTCTAAGCTACAAAAATTCTCTCCCAAGCACACAATCTGTTAATCATGGCTTATTAATGAAGAGTATTGAAAGAAAACGAGAGAAAGAGAGTTAGAAAAATAAGTCTTGTTATTTGTGTGCATATGTTTTAGATATTATTAAAATTTGTTGACAATCAGCGCCTCTCTGGAAGATTCTCACAAGCTTAAATTCGACTGTGAATACTTCAAATTATATTTCATTTAAGTATCCATATAGCATGTGTACATCTTAAAATGGTTTTTAATTAAAGGCCAAATATCTGACAGCTGACCAAATCAATCAAGATTGAAAAATGTTTTTCTGTGACATCAAAGCTAACCTATGCCGTAAAATAAAAACAACGAAAGAGCGCATGACCTTTTTCAGCAGACGCCACAAATTGTGGCTCTTTTAAAAACAATATAATAACAATAACAGTAACAATAAAACTGCAAAACGGAAACAACAACAATCCGTACGCTTCAACTGCCTATTTGCAAAGTCTGACCCGAGGCAAAAACTTTTATTTAGCCTCGAATATTGAAAAGCAGCTCGGTCAACCGCCGTCCCTCCCTTATCACTCTTAATTTGCGCAAATTTCAACTTAGATAAAAAATATATAAAAAACAAAAAATAAAATACAAGCCAAGCGTATCTTTAAGCCGCATCTGCCGCTAGTCCTTAAATGTGCTGCGCCTTTTAATTTTGTTGTTGTCTGTATTTTGTTCGTTGTGTCTCCCGCACCTTGTTGAGAAACCCAAAAGTTAATTTAGCTCAATGAACAGCATATCCAGTAGCCATCAGCACGTGGCCAGCAGCAGCAATGGCAACAACAACAATAAGCGGAACAATAGCAACGTAATGTTCTGTGCTCGCCCCCCGGATACCCTAAGGAGGGTCTTTGGCATTCGAAATTTAAATTTTTGCTGCCTCAACTGATGGCCTTCAAGCGCTACGCTTATTGACAGCATTTCAATAGCTTACTACTGTTTTTTTGTAAGCTGCCACAAGCAACGACAGCAGCAGCTCCTATATGCTCCAGCTTAAAAAAAATGGATATATATAATAATAATTTCGTTTTATATCTTTTCAAAGTAGACTTTTGCTTTGTGGTTTTTTCTACATCAAACACATTCTAGCTTGACCCCCTTATCTAAGTGCTATAAAAATTGGTTTTTAATTCTTTTTTTGGCGACCCTTTTAGACGCAGCCCGGAAGGCTAGCCAAGTAAAAGGCAACCCCTTTGCTCCCGTTAGCGCTTTTGGCTTTTAAATTATGCCGAAAATTGCACAACGTATTGTGGGCGGGGCCCAAATTGTTGTTGCTGCCGTGGCTTTTAATTAAAAGTTCATTAGGCGTGACAACGCTGCTCATTAGGCGCCTTTTGCTGCTAGCGGTAACTAAGAGGCGGGGCTAAGTGCAGTCAGTTTATTGTGTTGCACTTGATTAGCGACAAGCTTTAACTTAAAGAATACCTCCTCAGTGGTTTCATTTTATGGGCAAAAAACTTGCGGCTGGAAGTGAAAACAAAAATTGCGCAGCTACGCGCCAAAGTTTCACCTGTTTTCTGTCTCCAGCTCATTTGCGTAGAGCTACAACTTGCTCTAGATTGTAACACTCTATAAGCCGTTGCTGGCCCTCCCATAACCCCTCTTGTTTACCGTCCAAGTTGACTTCATTTGCGCATAGTTTGTGGCTCAAGTTTGTCATAAACAATGTTGAACTTAGCTAAAGCACAAAAGTTATCAAAGCAGCTGAATTGATTGCCATTTGTTGCCGCAACTCTGAGCAATGTGATTGAATTGGTTGTGAGTAAATTAAATGGCATTACATATTTTTATTTATGTTTTTTATAAATATTTAATCAATCAGATCTTGTTCAGTAAGCCTTTTGGCAACAACGTAAGCAACAAAGTAGCTGTCGATGGGACAACAATAGCTTGATAACAAACATTGTCTTGATATATATTGATATCTGTTGTTATTACGACTGCGTAACTCTTTCAAATATTTTAACTTTCGCTAATCATAACCATAATGTTATAAATAAGTTCAATTGACAGCGTATTCTTACGCCGTAAAAAAACATTTTCTCGGCATGTGCGTATATGTGTATGTTCGTGTGAATGTCTTCATTTGTCCAAGCATTAATGGGGCAATTTCGTAAATTTCACGCCTGTTGTTCTGGATTTTCTTCGGTTTAAATATCCGCACGAGGAAGCCACAAAATTGCTGAAGCTTAGCCCAAATACAAATGCCAATACATGTGCCACAAGTCAGAGTGGATGTTGTTGCTGTTGTCTGTGGATTATTGTATGTACATAAGTGGCTGCCAAAACTTTAGGCAAAGTTCTGGCCAAAAAGTTGTTTGAACAAACTTAATCAATGTATGAGCACTTACAAGCAGTGGCTTACGCCCAAAGGATATGCGGGGCACCAATTTCTGAAGCGGCATTACTCTGAGCTTACACTTCATTATTTATTTGCCTATAACGCAAAAGCTAAAATGCAGAACTGACAAAAAAAAAAAAATCGGAGCAATGAAATTGTGAAAGATAACATAAACATATTGTTGACAACGGCAACAATAACGTTGGCGTGCAAAAACCAAAAGGCGCAACGCACAAAAGTAGGCAACGCATATTGTTTTGCGGCGCTGCCTTAAGGATACTCCCTTTTTTTCGTTACTGTTGTTGTTGTTATTGTTGTTGCTGTTTACAGAATTTATCGCTTGACGCAAAGTACGCACATTAATTACGCGGAGTTACTTTTATTGTGCTGCTACAACGCCGCCCAGCATGCAACAAACAATGCGACAGGAAATGATGCGAGATACCGTTACACTACAAGTTACGTTTACAACAGTTACACCGTCTACCATAACAAAGGAACAGCCACGAAGCTTTAGACACATTAAGGAAGCTCCAATAGTCCTACGCGCGCCCTGACACCCTGACGTTTTTAATTGCACAACAACAACAAAGAAAGACGCCTAGTCATGCCGCTGCTCTACACTCACCCACATGTACCAAGAAGTAGTTATAGGGTTTTATATGCCCCCTTTTGGCTAGACAGTTGTATTGAGTTCTTAGGCTAATTGAATGAACATTTGATTGACAGTTGGTGTTTGAATGCACTGACTTAATTTCCCATTTCTTTCTTTTTTGCACAGAAATTCGTGAATGACGATGAAGCCGCCTACGAGCAGGTACGTCGCGGATACGCCTGGGCCGCCCTTGTCATACAGCCCAACTATACGAATGCCCTAGTCGAACGAGTCGAGGATGGCCGCTATGCAGAGGATAGCACCGTAGAGGCATCTGATTTAGGCGTGCGCATGGATTGGTCGAGTAAGAATATTAATTGAATTTTATATTTTTGAGTATACTGAATAGCTGTTTCTATACCCTGAACCCATTAAAAATGGGTATAAGGGTATATTGTGTTTGTGCAAAATCCAAATGTATGTAACAGGCAGAAGGAAGCATCTTCGACCCCATAAAGTATATATATTCTTGATCAGCATCAATGGCCGAGTCGTATGTATGAACGCAAGGATCTCAGAACATATAAGAGCTATAGACTTGACGTTCCAAAACGACATAACTCCGCGCGGAGATATGACGTTCCTAAACGACAAAACTCCGCGCGCAGATAGAACGTTCCAAAACGACATAACTCCGCGCGGATATGATATGACCTTCCAAATCATCACGATTTTTTTCAAAATCTAGGTCGGTGCGAAAATCGAATCTTTTCCGATGATTTTTTTTTAATATCTCGGCTAATAGCTGTCTCCGCGCGGAGATTTGACGTTCCAAAACGACATAACTCCGCGCGGAGATATGACGTTCCTAAACGACAAAACTCCGCGCGGAGATATGACGTTCCAAAACGACATAACTCCGCGCGGAGATAGAACGTTCCAAAACGACATAACTCCGCGCGGATATGATATGACCTTCCAAATCATCACGATTTTTTTCAAAATCTAGGTCGGTGCGAAAATCGAATCTTTTCCGATGATTTTTTTTTAATATCTCGGCTAATAGCTGTCTCCGCGCGGAGATTTGACGTTCCAAAACGACATAACTCCGGGCGGAGATATGACGTTTCAAAACGACATAACTCCGCGGGGAGATATGACGTTTCAAAACGACATAACTCCGCGAAGAGATATGACGTTCCAAAACGACATAACTCCGCACGGAGATATGACGATCCAAAACGACATAACTCCGCGCGGAGATATGACGTTCCAAAATGACATAACTCCGGGCGGAGATATGACGTTTCAAAACGACATAACTCCGCACGGAGATATGACGTTCCAAAACGACATAACTCCGCGGGGAGATATGACGTTCCAAAACGACATAACTCCGCGCGGATATGATATGACCTTCCAAATCATCACGATTTTTTTCAAAATCTTGGTCGGTGCGAAAATCGAATCTTTTCCGAATATTTTTTTTTAATATCTCGGCTAATAGCTGTCTCCGCGCGGAAATTTGACGTTCCAAAACGACATAACTCCGGGCGGAGATATGACGTTTCAAAACGACATAACTCCGCGGGGAGATATGACGTTTCAAAACGACATAACTCCGCGGGGAGATATGACGTTTCAAAACGACATAACTCCGCGGGGAGATATGACGTTTCAAAACGACATAACTCCGCGGGGAGATATGACGTTTCAAAACGACATAACTCCGCGAGGAGATATGACGTTCCAAAACGACATAACTCCGCGCGGAGATATGACGTTCCTAAACGACATAACTCCGCGCGGATATGATATGACCTTCCAAATCATCACGATTTTTTTCAAAATCTAGGTCGGTGCGAAAATCGAATCTTTTCCGATGATTTTTTTTTTAAATCTCGGCTAATAGCTGTCTCCGCGCGGAGATTTGACGTTCCAAAACGACATAACTCCGGGCGGAGCTATGACGTTTCAAAACGACATAACTCCGCGGGGAGATATGACGTTCCAAAACGACATAACTCCGGGTGGAGATATGACGTTTCAAAACGACATAACTCCGCGGGTAGATATGACGTTTCAAAACGACATAACTCCGGGCGGAGATATGACGTTTCAAAACGACATAACTCCGCGGGGAGATATGACGTTTCAAAACGACATAACTCCGCGGGGAGATATGACGTTCCAAAACGACATAACTCCGCACGGAGATATGACGTTCCAAAACGACATAACTCCGCGCGGAGATATGACGTTCCATAACGACATAACTCCGGGCGGAGAAATGACGTTGCCAAACGACATAACTCCGCGCGGAGATATGACGTTCCAAAACGACATAACTCCGCGCGGAGATATGACGTTCCAAAACGACATAACTCCGGGTGGAGATATGACGTTTCAAAACGACATAACTCCGCGCGAAGATATGACGTTTCAAAACGACATAACTCCGCGGGGAGATATGACGTTCCAAAACGACATAACTCCGCGCGGATATGATATGACCTTCCAAATCATCACGATTTTTTTCAAAATCTTGGTAGGTGCGAAAATCGAATCTTTTCCGAATATTTTGTTTTAATATCTCGGCTAATAGCTGTCTCCGCGCGGAGATTTGACGTTCCAAAACGACATAACTCCAGGCGGAGATATGACGTTTCAAAACGACATAACTCCGCGGGGGGATATGACGTTTCAAAACGACATAACTCCGCGGGGAGATATGACGTTTCAAAACGACATAACTCCGCGGGGAGATATGACGTTTCAAAACGACATAACTCCGCGAGGAGATATGACGTTCCAAAACGACATAACTCCGCACGGAGATATGACGTTCCAAAACGACATAACTCCGCGCGGAGATATGACGTTCCAAAATGACATAACTCCGGGCGGAGATATGACGTTTCAAAACGACATAACTCCGCACGGAGATATGACGTTCCAAAACGACTTAACTCCGCACGGAGATATCGTTCCAAAACGACATAGCTCCGCGGGGAGATATCACGTTTCAAAACGACATAACTCCGCGCGGAGATATGACGTTTCAAAACGACATAACTCCGCGGGGAGATATGACGTTTCAAAACGACATTACTCCGCGGGGAGATATGACGTTTCAAAACGACATAACACCGCGGGGAGATATGACGTTTCAAAACGACATAACTCCGCGGGGAGATAGAACGTTCCAAAACGACATAACTCCGCGCGGATATGATATGACCTTCCAAATCATCACGATTTTTTTTGAAAATCTAGGTCGGTGCGAAAATCGAATCTTTTCCGATGATTTTTTTTAATATCTCGGCTAATAGCTGTCTCCGCGCGGAGATTTGACGTTCCAAAACGACATAACTCCGGGCGGAGATATGACGTTCCAAAACGACATAACTCCGCGGGGAGATATGACGTTCCAAAACGACATAACTCCGCGGGGAGATATGACGTTTCAAAACGACATAACTCCGCACGGAGATATGACGTTTCAAAACGACATAACTCCGCGGGGAGATATGACGTTTCAAAACGACATAACTCCGCACGGAGATATGACGTTCCAAAACGACATAACTCCGCGGGGAGATATGACGTTCCAAAACGACATAACTCCGCGCGGATATGCTATGACCTTCCAAATCATCACGATTTTTTTCAAAATCTAGGTCGATGCGAAAATCGAATCTTTTCCGATGATTTTTTTTTAATATCTCGGTTAATAGCTGTCTCCGCGCGGAGATTTGACGTTCCAAAACGACATAACTCCGGGCGGAGATATGACGTTTCAAAACGACATAACTCCGCGGGGAGATATGACGTTTCAAAACGACATAACTCCGCGGGGAGATATGACGTTCCAAAACGACATAACTCCGCGCGGAGATATGACGTTCCAAAACGACATAACTCCGGGTGGAGATATGACGTTTCAAAACGACATAACTCCGGGCGGAGATATGACGTTCCAAAACGACATAACTCCGCGGGGAGATATGACGTTCCAAAACGACATAACTCCGCGCGGAGATATGACGTTCCAAAACGACATAACTCCGGGTGGAGATATGACGTTTCAAAACGACATAGCTCCGGGTGGAGATATGACGTTTCAAAACGACATAACTCCGCGCGAAGATATGACGTTTCAAAACGACATAACTCCGCGGGGAGATATGACGTTTCAAAACGACATAACTCCGCGGGGAGATATGACGTTTCAAAACGACATAACACCGCGGGGAGATATGACGTTTCAAAACGATATAACTCCGGGCGGAGATATGACGTTTCAAAACGACATAACTCCGCGGGGAGATATGACGTTTCAAAACGACATAACTCCGGGCGGAGATATGACGTTCCAAAACGACATAACTCCGCGGGGAGATATGACGTTCCAAAACGACATAACTCCGGGCGGAGATATGACGTTCCAAAACGACATAACTCCGCGGGGAGATATGACGTTCCAAAACGACATAACTCCGCGCGGAGATATGACGTTTCAAAACGACATAACTCCGCGCGAAGATATGACGTTTCAAAACGATATAACACCGCGGGGAGATATGACGTTTCAAAACGATATAACTCCGGGCGGAGATATGACGTTTCAAAACGACATAACTCCGCGGGGAGATATGACGTTTCAAAACGACATAACTACGCGGGGAGATATGACGTTTCAAAACGACATAACTCCGCACGGAGATATGACGTTCCAAATCATCACGATTTTTTTCAAAATCTAGGTCGGTGCGAAAATCGAATCTTTTCCGATGATTTTTTTTTAATATCTCGGCTAATAGCTGTCTCCGCGCGGAGATTTGACGTTCCAAAACGACATAACTCCGGGCGGAGATATGACGTTTCAAAACGACATAACTCCGCGGGGAGATATGACGTTTCAAAACGACATAACTCCGCGGGGAGATATGACGTTCCAAAACGACATAACTCCGCGCGGAGATATGACGTTCCAAAACGACATAACTCCGGGTGTAGATATGACGTTTCAAAACGACATAACTCCGCGCGAAGATATGACGTTTCAAAACGACATAACTCAGCGGGGAGATATGACGTTCCAAAACGACATAACTCCGCGCGGATATGATATGACCTTCCAAATCATCACGATTTTTTTCAAAATCTAGGTCGGTGCGAAAATCGAATCTTTTCCGAATATTTTTTTTTTAATATCTCGGCTAATAGCTGTCTCCGCGCGGAGATTTGACGTTCCAAAACGACATAACTCCGGGCGGAGATATGACGTTTCAAAACGACATAACTCCGCGGGGAGATATGACGTTTCAAAACGACATAACTCTGCGGGGAGATATGACGTCATAACTCCGCGAGGAGATATGACGTTCCAAAACGACATAACTCCGGGCGGAGATATGACGTTCCAAAACGACATAACTCCGCGCGGAGATATGACGTTCCAAAACGACATAGCCAAGGGCGGAGATATGACGTTTCAAAACGACATAACTCCGCACGGAGATATGACGTTCCAAAACGACTTAACTCCGCACGGAGATATGACGTTCCAAAACGACATAGCTCCGCGGGGAGATATCACGTTCCAAAACGACATAACTCCGCGCGGAGATATGACGTTTCAAAACGACATAACTCCGCGGGGAGATATGATGTTTCAAAACGACATAACTCCGCGGGGAGATATGACGTTTCAAAACGACATAACTCCGCGGGGATATATGACGTTTCAAAACGACATAACTCCGCGCGGAGATATGACGTTCCAAAACGACATAACTCCGCGCGGATATGATATGACCTTCCAAATCATCACGATTTTTTTTGAAAATCTAGGTCGGTGCGAAAATCGAATCTTTTCCGATGATTTTTTTTAATATCTCGGCTAATAGCTGTCTCCGCGCGGAGATATGACGTTCCAAAACGACATAACTCCGCGCGGATATGCTATGACGATTTTTTTCAAAATCTAGGTCGGTGCGAAAATCGAATCTTTTCCGATGATTTTTTTTTAATATTTCGGTTAATAGCTGTCTTCGCGCGGAGATTTGACGTTCCAAAACGACATAACTCCGGGCGGAGAATTAATCCTATACTAGGAACCGTGAGATTAAGCCATCGCGGCAGGTACGCACGATAAGCCCACTGACTTTCATGTCCGTTCGTCCGTCCGTCCGTCCGTATGAATAACGCAAGGATCTCAGAACATATAAGAGCTATAGACTTGAAATTTTAGATGTAGGTGCTCCTAGTGCCTGCGCAGATCGAGTTTGTTCCCGATAATCGATAACTAACTCCGTTTCCAAGCAATCGATAACAATCGATATCGATATCCTATTTTTTTGGCAATTTTGGTAAATAATAAGAGCTAGAGTCCTCAAACTTGACATATAGCTTCTAAAATAGAATATATACATATATGCATTTGATGTTGGAAAAAGAGGGTTCAGGGTATCCCCTAGTCGGGAGCTCCCGACTAGAACCCCTTACTTGTTTTAATTGCTATTATATGCAATAAGCCATTTTAGTAGTTTTATTAATAACGAAATAATATGGGCGTCAATGTGCAATTTGCCCAATGAGATGGGCTATATGAACAAAAGAATATCAACATATATATATATATTACATAGCTGCAATAGGCACGGCCGGTCAAAAATCAAGTGCTCATATGAAAAACATGTTTATTTTTAAAGATTCTGCATCAAATTCAGCTGTTATCTTTTGATTATCAGACTAATATGTCTATTCATATCTATGATATATGTATATCTGTCTACTTTAAATAACATTCCTGGTCTTAATCTTTTCATCAACAGATCAACAGATTTCTACACTACTTTATCGCGACCTGCAGTACACTTTCTTTAGCTTTGTGGAGAACTTGCTGAGCGATTGCAATGTGAATCCCAAGCTGGGGCGCGTGCCCGTGGATTTCGCGCAGCCCATCTATGGCTATAGGAATCCGAATTTCACAGACTTTGCGGCACCCGGCGTCATACTGACCATTATCTTTTTTCTGTCGGTGGCCATTACGTCGGGCGCAATGCTGATTGAACGCAATGAAGGCATGCTTGAGCGTTGCCTGGTGGCAGGAATAACAGGACCAGAAATATTGCTCTCGCAGGTCGTCACACAGTTCACGGTGATGCTCAGTCAGACGGTGTTCGTGCTCATTGTTAGCTTCTACTTCTTTGAGCTGACTCTGGTGGGTGACATCTGGCTGGTGGTCGCGCTGTGCATACTCAACGGACTCTGTGGCATGACCTTTGGCTTTGTCATCTCTTGCGCTGTGGATACGGAGCGGACGGCGACATATGTAGCCATGGGCTCGTTCCTGCCCATTGTGATGCTGTGCGGTATTATTTGGCCCATCGAGGGCATGTTTCCGCTGCTGCAGTTTATCACCGCCTTCCTGCCACTGACCAAGCCTACAGAATCAATGCGCTCTATACTGCAACGCGGCTGGGGCATGGACAATCCAACTGTCTACAATGGTTTTATTTCCATCTCAGCGTGGGTGCTCGTCTTTCTGGTGCTCACCATTCTGCTACTGAAGTTTAAAAAGGGCTAGGACGAGAACAGCGCCAATAGTTATTGCCTATGATTTTATTAGGTTGTAAGGGTAGTCCTTAGTTTTCTATAAGCCTAGCGAGTGTATGTCTCTTGTACAATGTGTTAGTCAACCCAATTATTTGATACAACTCTCTATATTTAAGGTTCCGGATGTCACATGTTCATGGAATAATTGTGCCTTTTATTTTTAAGGTTTCATATCAGCTATCACCTCTCACCTACATTTTCTCATGCTCATTCACGTTACACCTTTTTCGGTATAAATACAAAAATCAATGTTAAATTCAATAACACAAAGCGTTAAGCATTTTATCCTTGTTTAAAGAAACAGAAAACCCAAGAAAAAATGAATAAAATGTGAATGCAATATAAGAGGATTTTATGTTTAATTATTTGGGATTATCTATATTGGGTATGCTGAAAACAAAAATTAAAAAAAATTTAAACTTATATTAAACAATATTAGTGCGAACAAAAGGAGCTCTTAAAATTCGGAAATAAACTTTAACTCGGTTTTAGCATTGGACCTCATTCAACTTTTTATGGGTCACAGTAACTATTCCAAGAGACATTTGCTTAACTTTATTTCGAGGACATCCATGTAAGCAGTTTCCACGTAGTATTAAATTTGAAAAAATAATTGAAGGTTAAGCTTTATTGGATAAGTTTCATGCTTATATTAGCAATAATTTGTTTTGCTTTGCAAAAATTGATGCACTTAACTTTAATAATATTTAAGCCCCAAAGTGAACTTTCAAATGCAGATCCGAATGCTCTTCATTATAAGCCAAATTAAGGCACTTTCGACCCTTTCAATCAGTCTTTGATTTAGCCAATATTTATTTACCGAGAGTAGCTGCAATCAAAGGTTGGCCCCAAACACCTATCTATCAGTTTGAGTGCTGGTCAAAATTTTTAACCCCTTTGCAGCTGCTTCTTTAACATGCGCATTATTTGTTGGTGCAACGCCCCCGATCAAGGTGGGGCAGCTGAGCTTGTCCAGCAGCTCGTTTTCGACACATTTCACATTTTGCGGCAAAATCAATTAAACCGGAAATGCATGTAGCAAGTGCCGGGGTGAGTAACGTGGCCGTGCCACACGTGCAGTTTCCGTTTGGCACAAGAAATCAACTTAACAAGCGGACAAAGTGACAGGACAGCCAAAAGGATGGGGATTTCAGCTTTTGTTTCTGCTCCTGCGGTGACCCGGCTCGGGGGACAGGAATTGCGAAAAGCAACGGGCAGACACTATACACACACACGCACACAGTAGGGTGTTTTATATGCATATGTAGGTCAGTACCACAAGAGGGCGTGTAACTGTGGACTTGGCAGACCATATCTGAAATTTGCAACGTGCTCCACATGTCGTCCGTTTCCGTGACTAGGACTAGCTGAGGACTAGGACCAACCTTCGACTGGGCGTAGCACTGCGATTGCCACTGCATTGATGTTCATGTCCTTTATCCATCTTCATTGTCCCTACGCCTGCAGCTTCCATCTTCCATCAGCTCAATGAGTTGCTGTCGCAAATCAGTCAGGCAATGCGCAGGCGACGCCTTGTCCTGCCTGACCCCTACAACTCATCTTAAGCCCTGAGCGTGTGTATTTAGAATTAGATATCCGTCAGCGAACGATAACGATGAACGGAAGTATTTGCTATTATTTTTCACATTCGATGGGAAATGATTTTGGGTTGTTGTTGTGGTTTGGGTGCCATCATTGATTACTTGAGTGTAGCTGACGGCTGCACTCGAGCACATAAATTGGAAAGTTGAGAGCTGCTGGAAAAACTCATTTTCATTTTCATTCTCATTCTCATGTTCATGTTGCCAGCACAGGCAGCTTGCGCTGCTTTCCACATAATTGAAAGTTCAAACTTTTCGACTTGCCGCTGAATTAATTTCTCAACTTCATAATTTCACGTGCTCCATGAAGCCTTAATAATATCCATACAGACGGACCGACCATCAGACATCCAATAGTTATTCAGCCAGTCAGCCAGATGTCTACAATGGCTCTTTGTTTGTGGCTGCTCCTTTTGCTGCACTCGCAATCGCGCTGGGCTGCTCCTTTAGATCCTTTGGCCCTTCTACGTCGTGAAGTGTTGCTGCTCCGCCAGCTCGATGGCGTCTTAATTAATTGCTCAATTAATTTAATGTTCAGCCAGCATCTGCCACCTCACCCTAGCCCACTCCCCAGGCACTTGTTCAGCATGCCAGCCATTTGCTTCGCTGCTCAAAATGTCAATTGTCTGTTCATTTCAATGGGCTTCACTTTCACAAATGTCAGCGCGTAAATGTTGTGTGTTCCTTGGCATAAATTGGTCTGTGAACCCCACATTCCCGAGGCATCGAGTTTTTATTTTGGCTTGGGCCAGGACCAGCCTTTAAATAGCTCACCATTTGCCATAATTGCGGTGCCATTTTAATCAAATGCAATAATTTCAAGAATTCGACTTTAAGTGTCCTTTTTGGTAGCTTGCAAAGTTTCAGGTGCTTGTTAAGGGGTTTCGTAAAATACAACTTTCTTAAAAAGTCTTAAAGTACTTAAAAGTCTATAGGCGGAGGTGGGCTCAAACACTGAACTCTTACAGAAAACTTTCAACTTTATGAAAATAGACAGTCATTAAAAATCGATAGATAAAAATAAAATCAATTTAAATGATATTTTGAATGAATTTAACGAATGTGTCGAGCTTAGCTCTGCATAAATAAAGGAAAAATGAAGAAACTAAAAATAAACGTAGTGTTGCGAAAATTCAATTCGATATCCTTAATAGCGGCAACACATATTGGACACATATACAGATAAATTGCAAACTAATTGACGGACGGGTAGCCAGCAAGGAAAAAGTTGTATTTGCTCAGTATACTTTAGAAACAGACGATAATAATAAATAAATAATGAGTCGAAGAAACACAAAATAAGAAGAGGTTAATTCTGACACTTGGATTATATTTAGATAAAAAATCTTTTCATGCGAATTCGAAGACATTTAGAAAATTGAGCGTTGGATTTCGCTTTGGATAGTTAACATAATATTTCAGTTATATTTACCTCTATTACTATTTATTTTTGTTTTATTCAATTTTAAACCTCAATGTAATTGAGGTCATTCTGCTAGAACATATGTATATATTTATATACGTAACTCGAGCTTATAAAAAGTTTTTTGAACATTTTTGCCTATTTTACCAACAAATATATTTTTTAAGCAGCTTTTCGTTGAAGCAAAATGCCAATTAGCGAATTGTGGGTAATAGTATTCACTATTGACGATGGTGCTTGAGCATAGTTGTAAAATTTTCAAAATTTTTAAAAATTCAAAGAAAAAAAGTCTCAAGGTCGCAAAAGAAAGATGAGATAAAACAGTAAGCCAAGGTGTCATATAAATTAAGGTATTTATTATATGGACTCCGCAACGCGTAGATAAAAAACTGAACTAATATATTGTGTGGTATATTCAGTTTAACGGCCAGCATTGCCCGCACAGATAAAGAATACATATTGTTCAAGACTAGGCCAAAAAATGAACATTAAAATTTGGGTGCCACTTGTTCAAGCCTAGTAAACAATTTTTGATTGTTTCATGGATATTGCATTGTTATTGCATTACTTATGTGCAATAATTGCCACTTAATCAGCAGAGCTGTTAATAGTTTTTTTTTAAATATTTTTGCCTAGAACTTTTTGTGTTTATTAGCCATCATCAATTAACGCATTTACTAGTGACAACTGCCAAATTCGAAGAAAGCTTTAATTATTTAAGCAATTACCAGAGACGGCAACAACAGGCACTCTCATATGCAGGCACTTTATTATTTTAATGGCTGGCATTAATTATTTGTGGTACATTATGAGCAATTTGTTTAATTTACGAACACCACAGCAGCAACCACAGCAACAACATCATCAGCAACAACATGGGCAGCAGCGGCAATCAGTTCAGCATTTGCTGTTTCCTGTCTGATGTTTGCTTGCGTTTTGCTTCTGCTTTCGCCTGGCAAATTGTATAATGAAAATGTCAATCAATTTTTCCACGATTTGCCACCAAAGTATATGCCATGCTGATGTCCGCCGCCCAGCAGCCACACTCACACACAAGCACAAACACATACAGCTGCCTGTCACACTCAATGCCAATTGCAAATTGAGTTCATCTGCTGGCGGCAAATATTGACATGACAGACACATTTTTATTTTATTTTATTTGCATTTTTATTTCACTCTTTGCTTATGCTGTACTTTTTCCACCTCTCCTATATTTACCCATCTTTTTTTTTCAATTTTAGACGTAGTCTTTGCTTTAGCTTGCTGTTCAAGCTCAACCCCTCAGCATGTTGTTGCCATTTTTATTTCCTCATATCGTTTTGCCACTGCCTGCTCCTGACGTCTCTTTCAGTGACTTTCTACCCATGCTTGCGCCAGTCTCAGCATCCGCCTTTGTGCCTGGGTAGGTGACTCAAATGACATATTAATTTCCAAAGGGGAAACGAAATAATATATAAATGAAGTTGTCGCCCTGAGCTAAAGCTGGTAACGGGCAACCCACTTAGGCAGACAATCACATGCAAATAGCTGGCGAAATCTAAATAAATATGATCTGGTAAATCAACGCCTTTGTATTGGCCCGGGGGCGTGTCTACGTTGTAAGGGCTTACACATGCCATTACCCATACGCCGCGTATGCCAGATATTTGCGCAGCCATGCAATTTATTTGGCTAAGAAATTAATATACCTACACCCATATATTTTAGGGAATTTTGTGTATTTGATGAAGTTGCCGCCAGGCACAGATCTGGCGGAAGATAATGCTGTCAGCGCTCGACAAGACAAGGCAACCCAAGTGCCAGTCCCCATGCGCCTTCATCAATCATCCTTCGATAAGCGCGCCTCCACGTGGGCTCGCCAAGAAGCTAAAAAGCTGGCGAATTATGGACTAAGGGGCTGGCGGAATCGCCTTTAGTCAGCGGTACCTACGGTATGTACAGACCTCAATTGAAAAGCATTTTCAAAAGCATAATAACGATAAATATTTTATTGTAATGTGCTTTGCAATGTTTACAAGCAGGCTGGGTTTTCAGCACGTGCGAGGGCAGTTTGGAAAATTTCAGCTTAAAATTGTCTTCACACAAACCTGAGTTCTATTGTTTACCATTTTTGGTTCCATTTCCTCTCAAGTTTCCCATGTTGCTCCTGTAACTGCTTAAACAGCATGTATTGCCATTATATTCCACGGCTGTGGCAGATTCTCCTGCTGCTTTTGCTACAGCATCTGGGTTACAATGCAGGG